GTAAACCATTGAATTAAATTGGTCTTACCTTAAACAATATTTAATTGATTATTTTAATATCGCTAATAGGGTATATGCCAATATAGTTTTTATATTAGATGTTATTTACTACCTTAGTCTCTTGCGAAGATAGATAGAACCAGATACTTCATTTTTTAAAAAAAAACAAATAAATGTGAGAATAGAGTGAAAAAGCAAATAATAGGTTCTTTTTATTATTATATTTTTACTAAAATTATTTTAAAAAGTGCTTACTCTGATAATAGGGTGATTCAAAGTTAACTTATTTCGAAAATAAGTTGGGGATTAAAAAGTCCTATTTCTGTTTTGAAATTTTGAAATCAGAAATGAAATAGGTGTTATTCGGAGATGAAATGAGTATCCTTATTAATTTCTTTTTCGAGAATATCAATTGCATTTTTATGAGTAATATTAGAATATTCTTCTATTAGTATATCTAAAATATTATTTATGTCTTTATTATGTGATTGTCGATTAGACATTGAGGCATTTTAAAATATATATATGAAAGATAAAATATTAATAATTTTATATAAATAAGCTTACAAATTAAAATAAATAAGTTTACGAATCACTGATTTCAAATCATAAACCCTGAACATTCGGTTTGAATCACCCTAATAATGAATTAAATTTCTTTGCTTAAATGTATTTTTTGGAAATTTGAAATTTTATTTTTAACTGGATAAAAATTACATCTCTTTATTTGGCTTAAGAATGGCATCTAATTCGTACGAGTTTTTTTTTTTTTTTTTGTTGATTAGCAATAAAAACAAAACCGAATATACGCATCGCATACATAATTTAAATTCAAACTACCGGTTTATCAACCAGTTTATAAAACAATTAAGCTCTGCAAAGAAGTAAGCTAATTATCTTAATCGATCAATTTAATGATTTGATTTGCTAACAGCTCGGCTAACTAACCGCTTGCTCGTGTTATGAGGAGTCGGCTTAGATTCGTAAGCTAATTACATGATGACTATAATAACAGATAATATACCAGTTGCTATTATAGTAAATTACAATATCACAATATAATTATAACTAATACTAATCCAAATGTCCCGCTAAATTTTAATTTCTATATATGTGCATTACTGGTAAAGAGGTAAGAGTCTCAAAAGTCAATATCTTTTTTTGCGCAAGTCTACATGACTTTCTCGTAATATTATGCCATTTATTCATTTATCATTAATATAACCTTTTATATGGGCTTACCGCATTTGTCTTTCTTGAATTTGGATTTCACTCAAGTATCTTAGTTATGTCTTGAATCAAATTTCTAATCCACTTATGTAAAAATTTTTATAATGCAAAATTTTTAGACCATATTTTATTGTTTAAATAAGTTCGCCTTAATGGAATTACCAAAAAATTTGTAAGGATGAACGTTAAAATGCTTAGAAAGTCCAATATATACCATATGAAATAATTCTGACGATTATATGTAAATATTTATTACTTTTAACAGACCTTTATATATAAAAATAACGTACATTTGTGATTAATACATTTACAAAATACCACCTTGAAATTACTATTCATTACTTGTAGCGGAATTTTATTGTAAATTTTGACATTCCCTGCCTTTATCATTGACATAACCTTCTTTTTAAGTACCGTAAACCTCGGAAAATAAGCACACATTTTTTAATTAATAGATGTGCTTATTCATTGATAATTTGAAAATTGATAATATAGCTGATTTAGTGATTGATCAAAACGTAATTGATTACTAATTAGCATAATATTTGCGTAATATATAAATAGCTTTGTTTTGATCTTTGCACTATCGATAATTAATCATGCTCAAAGAAAAAGAAAAAAGAAACAGTTATTCTGTTGCTTTCAAACTCGAAGTTATCGAATATGCCAAAACAACTAACAACTTTAAAGCAGCACGTCAATATAATATTAATCATATGATGGTTTTTCGTTGGCGTGGACAAGAAGAAAAATTTAAAGTAGCAAGAAGCTCCAAACGACGAGTAGGTTCAGGCCAAAAACCAGCATATCCTCTTGCAGAAGATGCATTAAAATGCTGGATTGATGAACTACGCAATGAAGGAATTGCTGTGTTGCCTATTACAGTGAAATTTAAAATGTGATGTTTACTTGCAGCTGATTTTATTCAGCATTATCCAAATGTATCTGAAACTTTTAAAGCCTCTTATAACTGGTTCTATGGCTTTATGAATCATTATGATCTCTCTCTTCGCCGTCAAACAAAGATTGGGCAAAAGTTACCCAACAATTGCAAGAAAAAATTTTAAGCTTCATAACTTTATTAAAAAAGCACGTCAAAATAATAATCTAGATCTTGCCTGTATTGGAAACATGGATGAGACACCAATTTTCTTTGATATGGTTGGCCAGCTTACCGTTAACTATCGATGTGCTAAGACTGTGCAAATAAAAACTACAGGAAATGACAAAAATCGGTTTACTTGTGTATTTTCAGTGCTTGCCAATGGTATGAAACTTCTATCAATGGTTATTCTTAAAGTAAAAAGATTACCTCGGGGTCCTTTTACTCCTGGTATATTGATTCGGATGCATGAGCGTGGATGGATGGATGAAGATTTAATGCAAGATTGAATCGAAAATGTGTGGAAAGGAAGATGTACAAATAATACTGGGCTAAAACCAAGTTTAATCATTGAACAAAAATGAAGTTTATTAACATTAGATTCTTTTAAAGGACATCTAACGGATGTGGTCAAAGAAAAATTTAAGGAAACTAATACTATCATGGGTGTTATACCTGGGGGACTTATGTCGCTTGTTCAAGTATTGGATGTCAGTATAAACAAGCCTTTCAAAGATCACTTATGTGAAAGATGGAGAAATTGGATGGCAAATGGTGAATTCCAACCTACCAAAGGCGAAAATTTCAAAAAGCCAACATGTAACTTAATGTATCAATGGATCGTTGAGGCTTGGGAAGATATTCCTACCAAAATTATTGAAAAGTCCTTTAAAAAGTGTGGTATTTCGAATGAACTTGATGGAAGTGAGGATTACCTAATACATAGTGAAGAAAAGAATGATGAGTTAGAAGAACCATTTATTGTTTTAACAGAGGACTTGGA